CTTACTTTTCGACAAGTCTATCTTCCGACAGATGTTCTTCAAAGTACAATGTTCCATTACGGAACATCACGTTAAGCTCCCAAGCATCGCGCTCTTCGTAAGGGGCAGTGAATATCCTCACTCACGAACAAAGCATAGACTCTAAGCATTTACAAGAGAGTTGCGCCTAGTCACGTACTCACTTTGTTATCACGCCCCTCCATGAGATGATTCCAATACTGGAAAGCCAAGCTTTCCCATCATGTCCATTGGCGTCCATTCTAGAGCGAGCTTTACTGACTGCGTGAAGAAGATTGTCGATACGCCCTCTCTCATCTGGTCGCCGAATCCAACGGTCGTAACCATAGTTCAAGTCTGCTCCCTGTGGTGGTTGAACATAATACCGTAGTGCAGAGTCATTAAATACTAGCTCATGCTTTGGAGTATACGAGAAAGTCAATAATGATGATGGTTGTTGGAAAGGCACTGAGGTTTTGATAGGTTCTGAAGGTGACGGGTAAGAGAGTTGTCCAACATCTGTAGGTTCTTCCACTCGAATTTTGGTGCGTCTAGTATCCGTGTCAGGAGACAGTGAGCGTTTTCTAGAGAGCATGATAATAGCCTAAGTCACAGAGTATTATGAGTGGACTAAAGCAACTTCAATAGCGGGAATCCAAATGGGAGGCGTTCAGTATAGGATTACGTAACAATACCCGGACCAGTCACGATATCGCAGTTACAGTCTTTGTCAAAGTTGTACTCGTTCCATGATATAAACAAGCTCTAGAAGATCAAGTTATACTCAGACTGCTCTGTCCTAATCGCCCCCTGCCATCCCTGCTTTTCTCGAACATAGAGCGACAGAAACGCCAATATTATCGCATCATGGCATCCTATCTTCGTAATTGGATATCTGCTGTTCCCACTCTAAGTTCCTTAACATCCACGACACCAGCCCCGCCAGAAATTGTTGAATTTGCTCCAGCTGATGACGATGACGACGACGCTGCTACTGTACGGGGATCTGACGACGAATCCAATGATATTCCCCCAGCCTTTCCGAGCCTGAATAGTGCCCAACGAGCAGGCAAGGATACATCCTTATCCAGCTCTCCCATTCCTCGGGTTCTAACCGACACAGAGCTCATGCCTCCTCCGCCACTGCCTGGTCTAGCTGCTCGGAGACCAGGCGTACCATCCGGGCTATCAATTGCATCTTCGTCCCTTCTTGTACCGCCGGGTGCTTCCTCTTTGGCTGTACCCCCAAGCACGACCAAAGCTCCTAAGAAGGCTTCGAAGAAAGTGGCCTTAGCACCCGGACACGGGCCACTAGACTGGGCAAATCTAAAGAAATCCGGGACAGACCTTCGGGTGAGTAGAATGTCGCTCCTTCCCCATGCTCCCCACTAAAAGACGGAATGCACAGGGGGTCGACAGTCTTGCACGAATAACTGCTGCCCAATTGAAGGAACATAACAAGAAAGACGACGCTTGGTCCGCGTTTAGCGGCAAAGTGTATAACATAACTCATTACCTATCGTATCATCCTGGTGGTGAGAAGGAACTCATGCGCGTCGCAGGCAGAGATGGGACTAAATTATTTGGTGAGTTGTGAACTTGCGAGCATCATAATTCCCGATTCCTGACACTGTCCCTCAGCCCTAACCCACGGATGGGTTAATATAGACTATATGCTTGATGAATGTCTTGTTGGATTTTTGGTACCGGACTCGTAGTAGAGAATATTCTTCCACTCCAGCATTGGACTATCATTATCCTTGGATTATCAATACCATTTGCGATGTATCCTATTCGCCCACTATTCGCCGATATGTACCGATCAGTATACACAAGAATCTGTAATTTGCATTTAGCGCTCAAAACGTAGAAATATTGTTCAGTGCCAGTGTTTGACGTCTGACAGTCATCTGCTACTTATGTATTTGACCGTGAACCATTACTTCTCGACGTATATGGCTATCACGATATCGTCGCCTTCGAGGCTATTAATGTGATTCTTCGACTTCTCACATTCCCTTCTCCTCAGCTCATCACCAGTTACTATACGCAAATCGGCATCGTCTTCCCTCTCAAGTATTTCTGGTATTCGCTTTTAAATCATGACTGAGGTCAGAAACTCCGAAGGGGATGTCGTAATGAAGGGACTCGTAGATCAGGTACTTCAAAACTCAAACCAAACATCGCTTGCAGGTGCAGAGAACGGTCCTGAACCGGTGCACGGCCACCAAAATCAGGTATGCTTTTGACTTCACAAAAATTCCACAGAGACATAATTTTTGAAGAGCAGGGTGAAACAGAGGATGTAGATATGGATATGGAAAGTTCCTCGCCCATACCATGCGAAGCCCCCCTCCCTACGACCCAAGATGTAAACCCCGGCCGTCAAGGGGAAACTATCTCCTTACTCACAGACGACGAAGGCTTGGACGACCCCCCGATGTCTGTAGATCCCACTACTAATGGCAGAGTAAATTCCAACTCCCCCAAAGCAACCCCACCTATGCCGTTAGCCAACACAGACTCAGACAAGGGTAATGTCAACATCATCGAAGAAGCTAGACGTCTCATGGGCCCTATCATCCTTCAAAACGCTCTCAGGCGTGATCCCACTGCCAATATAGATATCGTGAAACGAAAACTAGACGTCTTACTAACAGACGAGCATTGTCAACACTTCGTCCGTCTCGCCAAAGAGGCCCAGGCCCAGATGGCCAACGTAGCATTGACCAAGAAGGACCCTCCTTCTGCGTCCGCTAATAATAGCCGGGACACGCAGGGGCCGAATGTGGCCAATTCACCGGCAGGTCTTTCGGAATCAGCTATAGCCATTAACTCTCAACTATCCATGACTTCAACCATGACTTCCAGTCCTAACGGCCGACCATCATTCACTGCCCCACCCACTCTCTCGAAATCTCTTCCTCTCTCTGTCCCGACAATGCCTAGGGCGATGATGGCGGCCATGTCTGCCACACCTAGTACTCGTCGTGATGTCAGTACTAGCGTCAAGAACGAAGTTGACGCTCCTACTTCAAAAACCCTGGATGAAACCAATCCCTCGAATACACCACTTACGATGGAGCCAACTGAAAACGACAACGTAACCTCTGATACTCCCTCGGTCGAAGTCAAGGAAAATACTCCGGATCCTGTTCAAACCAGCGAACCCTCCGATGAACCTGAGGTAAATGTTGCCACAGAACACGAGCCTCAGGTTCTATCTGCCAACGATACTTCATCAGACACAGACGAGGTGTCACCCTCTGTGGCACCCAGTGAGGATGTTGCAGTGTCTACAGAAGCTCAACCCACAGCTTCAGACACCGCTGACCCCACAGGCGACGATGTGGCTACATCCGAGGGCGTCCCCCCTGCAGATGAACCCAAAGTCGTACCACCTGTTGAAATCCCCACATCATCCCATGAGGATTCAGCGCCGCCAAAGGACGCACCGATCGCCGTAGAACAGCAGATTGTCGATATTCCTTCCGAAAGTCAGGAGCAATCCAATGCAGAGGTAGAGTTGAAGAACGACACGGTACCCTCCACTCATATGGATGCCCCTCCCGAGGAGCCTGAGGGCGAAATGATAGTTGCTACTGTACCTCAATCCCCTGAACGCGAAGGCTCTCCGAGTTCTCCGACTCCTCAACACGAACAGGATGAAGACGATTCGCGTGACAAACCCCAACCCGAAGGACTGGAACAGGTCCCAGAATCTAATCCCGAAGAGAGTTTGATTGACCCCCCTCGGGAGCTTATATCTTCAATAGAAAACACGGAGTCAGTTCCGATTACTTCAACCGTGCCTGTAGAGGAGCCGAGTTCTACTCCCGTTGAGAGCCCAATCGAAGAGCAAGTCGAGCAACAACCAGAAACCCCTGGGTCACCAGAGCCACCAGTTGATACTCAATCAGAGGTGGTGCATGAGCCCCATGGTACACAGCTCGAGACCGACCCCGTAATCGCCGCTCCTGATCAAGACGAACCTAGCATAACGCAGTTGAACACGGAGCCTGAATCTGAACCACTGACAGATGGCGTGGCAGCGACAACACCGGAAACTGTGGTTCCATCGGTGTCCCCAATCCCTGGACTATGGCTTGTTATTCCTGGTAACCCCCACTCCGATATTCTCTCTTTTGACTTTTCTGTCGACGCCAATGCATCTGCTGCCTGTGAACGGTGGGCAGCACGTCACATGAAGTTTGAGTACGTCTCCTATATCTCTAAGATCTTTTAATGTCGTTTCTGACCTCCTCTGTAGTGCCTCGGACCATTATGTCAAAGCACGTCTTCTCTGCCTCCCTTTGGAAAAAGTTACAGAGACACCCTACTTGCTGGACCCTTCAACACCTCTGGACGAAGTGGTTGACGGGCTTGGGAAGATTAACGATGAATGGCCCGAACCTGGGAAGCTAATTATTGAGCTCCATGCTGAAACAGGAGAACAACGGATATGGCTCCCAAATGAACTTGTAAGTCCTTCCTCAACCTAATCTCTCTTGCACAAATTCTCACAATGATTACACAGAGCAAGGGATGTCTCGATGTATCTCCCTACATTCGACCAGGTTTGAATACTGCACGCTTTGTGCAGCTTTCCGATATGTCCGATCGACTATTTGTTCTCATCGCGTCGTCTCCATCCCAAGATGAAATCGAGGCACTAGAAAAACTTGCGAAACAGCGTTCCATTTGGAGTAGTTTCGTGGAAAGGACGATGACTCGGACTTTTAAGCAATCTGGTATCAAAGTTTCTCATACTACAGTTGCTGTTACTTAATTTATTGTACTCTCATCCATGTTGTTTTGTCCTTTCTGTTTCTTGATAGTGTATCATGTATATAATCTTGTTATAATGCTAACCACAAATTCTCTTTTTCAAAACGGAGGGAGAGCTTCCATGGGTCTTGGCCCCGAAACCCACCAGAAGTATGGAAACCGACCTATTGAACATATTGCTGAAACGTGTTAAATGTCAAGCATATCTGAAGAACGGCTGCGTGGTCTAATGGTTATGACGTCTGCTTCACATCTTGGATGGCTCGCTGAAGGTTCCCGGTTCGATCCCGGGCGCGGTCACTTTTTGCTCATAAGGATTAACTGTAAACCACCTAGCAAACATAACCAAGTTCTGAATCCAAAGCCGAAAGTTAAAATTTTCTTTGAGACTGTGCCTATATTGAGTCTTAGCAGTTACGAACGGAGATGAGAACAAATGGTGCGAAGGATTGGGCCCTGTATTACTTATATATATAACTACCACCAAACATGTCCTTTCATGAGTCTCCTCCCCGTCCTCACGACACTTGCGCTGATAATTTCGCCATCTGCGCCAATCTTCGCCCCAACGTCCACCAATCCACCAGGATGTTTCATGGTGATGAGGTAGTCACGTCCTATATCAGTGGCATGGATGTCCCTGCGTTGCCTAGACTCTCGCACGACTTCCCAGGCATTCGTGCCTTCGATACCGGATGCGACACCCAAACATAGGCCCACAGTCATCGGTATTGCTTTATGGGGGACCCCCATAGAAAGTGCACGTATGACCAGGTCAACACCCGCATCGATTTCATCCTGGGAAGGAGAGCTGAGGACGGCAATCTTTGGCTGGGCTTGAGCATTTGGATCAAGACCCATAGCGGCCGCGCCACTTTTTCTAATGAGGTCCAACAATGCAAGGACGCGTGAATCATCGATATCAATTGCGGAAAGTTTCTCGAAATCGGGACCTAGGATGCTTCGAGAAAGTGTTAGAAGCTCCGCCTGAGTGATGAAGATACTAGGGTTCGTAGCATCCACAAGAGATGCTTTAATGGTGCACAGTTTCGTACCATCGTAGTCGAAGGTCAGACTGGAAATGGGTAATGAATCAGGGAGAAGTTTTCCTGTTCTCGCTCCGCCGGGATGCACGAAGTCTAAAACAATCTTTGAAGCTTGCCCTGGTACACCCGCAATGGTAGCTTGAGGAGCATCGAGGACTGGTGTTACGATGTCGTTAGAGGGCTCAACAGGGAAAGTTGTTTCGATAATCTTGTCAGTGTTAGTATTGTACGAACGAACTGTCGCGGTGGTATTATCGGCACCACTATTAAGACGGGGACTACATAGATCGTTGTCCAATGCGAAGACACCAATCATACTGGAGAGGTTTCCACAGTTACCGGAGTAGTCGACCTCACTGTCCCGGATGCCAATTTGGACGAACGTGTATGTGACATCGACATCCTGAGCAGCTTTCTGCTCCTCAGAAGGATGGCCTACGACACATATTTTCGAGAGACTGGAAACCCCTCCACCCATACCATTCAGTTGACGTCCGTATTCAGCGTCGGGTGAGCCCATGATTCCACGAAATATAGGACCCCATTCACTACGATCTTGGGGAAGGTCGGCTTCCTTCAGAAAGATACCTTTCGAGGTACCTCCTCGTAAGAACCACGCAGGTAGTGGATTCTGAATTGAACGAGTCGAAGACAGTCTGGCATGTGAATACGTGAGGGCTTTCCTGGCTAGCATACCTAAGCAAATATTAGCATGCAAACAACACAACTTTGGGGTTAATCCGATACTAACGGGTGGTTGTTTCAATGGTGCTGGCTGGTGGCCGACGGGCAACCTCAACATTGTGTCTCAAAATATCACACACCTGATCATGGGGAAGTTTGTGCCATACCTGAAACGGAAGGTATGTAAGTCTACAACTTTCCAAGACGGGTCAAACACCGCCTCCCCCGGCTTTCTCAGAGCGTATCCGTGATTTCTCGCTACTCACGTCACAGGCTTCAATTCATACAAGCTTCCCACTTGGTATAAGTATAGTTCTTAGTACGACCGATATCTACATACTCGCCTATCATGTCACTTCCTGCATACGAATCATTGACGTTGAAAGCCACTAGAGTTGAGCTGAAAGACGGCGTTGTGGTCGTAACCTTGACGCGCTCTAAAGAGTAAGCTTAAATTGGCACCCGGAGGCAGAGTACTGACTCCTTACACCAGACGCAACACTTTCACTAAAGATCTTGTAAATGAAATTGTGCTTTTGTTCGACTTGTTCGACAAGGACGACCGAGTCCGCGTCGTCGTTCTAACAGCTGAGCCAAACGCACCGGCCTATTGTGCAGGGGTGCGTATTTGACACCCTAGGGGTTTCTTGAACATACCTTCTATAACTACTACTTGTATATAGGCTGACATCTCTGGTGGCTGGGATGGTCTATGGAACCCAGAAAGCGAGAAGGAAGGGGAACATGGTACGTTGTTCAATGCCGTTAACTAAATATAGTTCCAGACTTGACACAAACTTGACTGGCTATAAACCAGCTCACCGTGATTCTGGTGGTGTCGTCACATTGGCTATTTTCCGATGCCGCAAAATTACGATTGCAGCAGTGAATGGACATGCTGTAGGGTAGTATCTCTAGCTCTCCTGTTTGCGACACTCAATGAACGGAAAATCGTAGGCTGGAGTAGGCGTCACCGGATTGCAACTCCCATTTGACTTCCGATTTGCCTTGGTCCGGAGCGAAATTCGCTCTTCCATTTGTTAGAGAGGGAATAGCTCCAGAAGGTAACCTCTGTCGTTCTTTGCTCATTATGTCGCACTAAACTCTCCTCAAGCCGTTTCCTCATATTTACTGCCCAAGCTTCTGGGTACCTCTCGTGCCTTGTCATTGTTCCTCTCAGGAGCAACCATCACTGTGGACTCCCCCTTACTCCAGGGATTATACCACACCCTCCTCCCAACAAAGGAGGAAGTATTCCCGGCTGCTTACGCATTTGCACAGGAACTCGCTCAGAATACATCTCAGACTGCCATCGCTGTCACCAAGGCCTTAGTCTGGCACGCAGCAGATACTATTGAGGAACAACACATCCTTGATTCTAGAGCTATACGAAGTCTTGGGGCGGCAGCGGATGGCGCGGAAGGTACTAGAGCATTCAAAGAGAAGAGGGCAATCAAGTTCCCTGACACGCTTTCGAAGAACCTGCCATCGTGGGTTCCATGGGTGTGTATTAATAGCTATTACCTGGAGTTAAAACGCTGATAAGAAATATAGTGGCACGAGCTCGATATCAAGCATCGTAAAGCAAAATTATGATCATCGTCCTGCTTACTAGCTTGGCAGAAATTGTATCCCTCCACATTTGCAACGAAGAAGCGTATGAAGTCGATTTCTTGTCACGTCGTGTCTTGGTATGGTGAATTAATGGTGCAAACGCGCAACATAACGCCAGAAACGGTGTAAAGTGTGTCAGTATGGTACCATCTTGGCAGACTATGACTACTGACAACGATTTGGGACATACGATACATGTAGCTATAGCTGAGTAAGAGAAATGCATATGAATTATGGTAAGACAGATCGTGAACGTCCAAATGTAAGGCCGTATCGTAAAAACTGATATACAAAACAAAGCAACGATAGCAAGATCGACAAAAATAAACCAGAGAAACCAAGAAACTAAATGTACATGAGCGCCATAGGAAGTCATAGCCTTCGCGTCTTCACTTCAGGAACGTCAGTCATAGCCAAGTCGAGACGAGGGGTCTTGAAGTAAGAGAATGAAAGGGATTTTCGCCACTCTAACTGAGAGTCACGGAATTTCCGTAAGTCTTCTAGTTGAGCAATAGTGGGAGGCCGGAGACGCAGGACAAAGACATAATTCTCGAAATCCTTTGCGTGGTACAGTTGGAAGGTATTTTGTCCCAAGTGTACATGTTGACCAAACTCAACGAGATGATCCCCGCTTTCCTGATTAGTGGTCCACGTATTAGTGGATAGCAAACATGAAGCTTTGAAGAGGAACATGCACTTACAAGCCACGGGGGATAAAGTGCCAACCATCCAGCGTTGTTCAGCTTCGCCTGGATTTGGCCATGGACAGGCCATGACATGGGTTCTCCATCCAAAACAGATTCAGGAGATGCCGTAGGGTCTTGTTCAACTTTGTTCATACAAATTGGTAGCGAATAGACGGCAAGGGAGAGAGATAAACTAGACGCCAAGTCGCTGTGACCTTATGTCAGTGCTTTGATATGGAAGTCAGAAAAGTGCCACTCACTCCTGTATTCTAAACCGTTTGTTCCATTGTGATAGCAGGTCAAGATGTAGCCGAGATAGATTGAATTCCAATGTATGCATTTGTGCAGTAGTTGAACCTGACATCAATCCTATGACTATCGGTGTCCCGTCGTATTGTTCTAGGGACAACGCGTCTTCCTCAGTCGCCACAGGTTGAATAGAGGGTAGTTCTGTCTCAACATCTTCGGAGCGCGCTACATCAACATTGTGGTTAGGGACAGATGGCGTGGGTGGCGGGGATGGGGATTTGGCAGGAGCAGTGGGTTCAGGAACGAGTTCAGGGCTCGCGTCGACGACAGGGTCAAGTGTCATCGCGTCTTCGTCAGCAATCGGTAGGCTGTCTTGTGTTGGTCCCTGCGAGATATCAGTAACGTCGGCGGCGACACTATCTACTTGGTTACTCTCCTCCTCGACTTTTGTATCTGGTTCGAGAGATGCGGTATTGGCCCGAGGTGATTGTGACCGGTCTTGGGAGGGTTCTGGCTCAGCGGCGCTGTGGCCCTCTGACATTGGCAATGACTTTGACCGATCTCGATCAGAAATGGAAGGAGTGATGTTTTGCAAGAAATCATCGACCTCTGCATCATCAACACCTGCATCATCCGTGGTAGTGTCAGCCATGACAATATCAGCGGATGATGTGGGTTCTTTGTCGATGATGGAGACGGATGTAATAGTATCATCCGGCTCAGGAGAGGTCGTAGTAGCATTCGGTTCAACGGATGGAGTAGTGTCATTCGGCTCGCCAGATGGAGTAGTATCGTTCGGCTCAACAAATGTCCCGGACTTTTCTCTATCTTCATCTTTGGTGACCTGTTCGTCTTCAGGACTGTCGTTGGTTACGTCTCGTTTATGTTTCCAGTGGTCGACATCCATTTGTAGGAAGGAGCTTCTTTTCAGTGCGATCTTGCGTTTCTTCGCTGGAGGTGCGGAGGATGAAGTTGGGGTTGAGGTCGGGGCCGGGTGATGCGGTGGGGCAGAGACTGAGGT